AATTAAGGCAATATGAGACAATAAAAACAAAGAGTTACGGACGTCCGGGTACCTTTTTCTGGGCATCACGAGCCCGAAAAAGGACACCCGTTAACAAAGGATTAACCTTAAGCACAATAGCCCGTTGCATATTCATATATGATGCATAAATTCCATTCAAACACAGGATTCCGTCTGGTCAGTGTCAACTTCTTCCTTTTAATCCTAACAGCTCTTTTGAGGCGGGAAGAAGTTAGTTTCTTCCGATAAGAAGGCCATACATTCTTTTTCTCTGGAAGATTTACGTGTCTTGTGGCTGCTATCTCGCTGCAAGCCCTTTCTGTTAAACAAAGCATCTTACATAGTATAGTTTCTATTTTAACAATTTTTATAACCTAAAACTGCATTTAACACAGTACTTAAGAGAATTAATACAGCATTACTTTCTAAAACAACACATATAATATTCATTTTAATATTTGCGAAAAGCCTATCATAAAATACATGCATTTTTCATATATATATATATATATATATATATATGGATATATTAGCTCGAAGTTATATATAAGTTATGTTACTGATCTATCTAAACCAGAAGTAATATAATTATTCGATGGATTCCTGTTTGCGTGAATATCAATGTGGTCTCCATTCTTTGTATTTGAAGGCTTTTTTTCCTCCCTCTGTTTCTTTTTTAGGTAAAAAATGAAGGCCAGAAAAGGAGGGAGATTTAGATCTTCCTTTAAATTGAAGCAAAAAGGCATTCAAGTAGTAGGGGAATGGAAAAGCGTGCCGATCGACCCCAATCTGTTTGCTGAGGAGGAGTTTCGAGATATAGTGTGCCTGGAGGAACTCACAGAGTACAAGCTAGTCAGTTCTTCCAAAATAGGGAAAGTAAAAGAGAAGAAGAGAAAGGCTGAGAGTGCTTCTGAAGAAGGCAATGAGGAGGTGGAAGAACCTGTTGCTCCTCCAAAAAAGAAAAAGAAAAACAAAGATTTGAGGAGCCAAACAGATAAAGGCAGTATTCCTAATGCAGCAGAAATTGATGACAAAGAGGCAAAGTGTAATGAAATAATTGAAGAAGCTAATTGTGAAGACCGTGGACGTGTGACTGAGAGCATGTCAAGCAGAGGAGACACTCCAAAGAAGAAGAAAAAGAAGGTGCCTAAAAACAAGGATTTTCAAGCACAGGAAGCTGTTCCATCAGTAGCTACTTCTAAAAAAGTCAAAAACTGGACAACAGAAGTTTTATCTGCCTCAGCTGATCAAAAAGCTGATGTGTCTGCTTGGAAAGACCTGTTTGTACCTGAGCCAGTGCTGCAGGCCTTGAGCTCCCTGGGGTTTAGTGCTCCAACTCCTATCCAAGCCTTAGCCTTGCCTTCTGCCATCCGGGATAATATGGACGTTCTTGGTGCTGCAGAAACAGGTACAAGTCTGTTCAGCCGATCCTGTGTGCTGGGAGCATCCCTTTCCCTCCTTAAAATGTAGCCCATAGCTGCAAGATTTTATATGCAGAAGAAGCAGCTTTTCTGTATTATAAAAGAGCTTTCATCTTTTGTATATTCAGAGTATTAGTAGAGTGTTAAAACTTTGAAACTTACATGTTTGTAAGTCTGGGAACTTACATGGTTGTAAACTTACATGTTGAAACTTACATGTTTGTAAACATGGGAACTCCTATCTTTACAAAGCATGCAAAGCTTTGAAACCTCAAGGAGTTTCTGTGCTTTTGGCAGAGAAGTCTCTTTTCCTGTTTAGGGAATGGTAAGGTGATATTCTGCAAAAGGCAAAATTAATAAGCAAACAGGGTCATTTCTGCAGCAGCCAAACATGTGCTCCCAGGCTCCTGTGGAGATAATTCTTTCTAGAGTGGAGCAGTGAATAAACCCTGGGCACAGTGTTAAGTGTGAATATGACTCAGGTCCTGCTCAGAGCAGAATGGACCCACCCTGTGCTCTGTCCCCCGGCTTTGCCTTTTTGTTGTCACCAGCCCTTCTCCCTGCTTAAAGTGAGTTATTACATCAATGATTTGAGAGGTAGATTCACATCCATCTTGTGCTCAGCTCATGCTTTGAGAATTGCTTTCATGAAATTTTTTACAGCTTCTTGTTTACTTAATGCTATGAAGTTCCAGAACGTGTGTTCCCTCAAACTTTGCAGTTCATACCTTTGAAGTTTTGTCTTTAGCAACATTTTTTCCATAAAACACCTAGAGATAGGAAACACAATTGGAAGCTGCCTTGGTTTAAAAGCTTCCTTTAGACTGTCTTCATTTGTTCCAGTTGCTTTATCTCACTGCTTCTCTGTAAAGTCATTTACTGCTCTCCAGCAAGAAGGTATAGTAACTAATAAGATATGCAGTCATTTGCATTTTTATTTTAATTAGAAGCTGTGTTGATGCTATTAGCTTCAGTAAGATTAGAAAGCCCTGCAGGGAGTGTTTTTAAAAATGGAACTGAAAATTTAAATGGTGTTTTTGTACTGCAAAAAAATTACATTGGCAGTGCTGGTAAGCAAGTTCCTCTCTAGCTGCAGAATGGAATGCATGGTCTTTGGCAGGCTGTGTTGTTGCTTTATAATTTTGCATAACCCTGAGGTAGTAGGAATGTGTTTTGCTCATTTATTCTTTCATGAGTGAAATCCAGATTCTCCCCAGAGAGTCCATCGGATCATCATGTTCCTGGGAGATCTGGACAACTGCCTGTCAGGAGGTGCTGCAGTTGGGAGAGGTTGAAACTCTCTAGTTCTTTTCTTCTGCATCCTGCAGCACCTCTTAACATTGGGCCTGAGGGAGGAATATGCAGAGTTAAAGAACTAATAAAGAATTAAATAACTAATCTTTTCTAGTAGCAACATTGGGAAGATTTTGATATGGCAGTAGATCCATGTGCAGATCAGACAATGGGAATGTCAAGGCTTGTTTTTGCAGTGGGTCTAACCCTTGCTGTTCGTTACTGTGTAGAACCAGTGAAGTTTCTGGTTAAGGAGCCAAATCTATGTGAAATTATACAATATGAAACTGCGTAAAAGAGCACAAATCGGCTTGAACTTAGTACCAATATATTCCTTCCTCCTAGTTTTGCATGCCTGTCTGTGTCTGTGGTTTGTGTGTTATAAGGATAACATGTCCTGTGAGGTGATAATTTGTTTAATTTCTGGGTGAATCTAGTGCCTGTAGAATAGTCCTGATTATCACAGCCATAATCTGTCTGGGTGCAGTACTGACATTGGCAACAGCAAACTGCATTACATTTAATTCAAAATCAGCAGTGCTCTTCACCTTAAAAACAGATATTCTGTATTACCAGACCCCTATTGTATAAGTGGTCTAAATACAGGTTATAAACCTTTTCCACTTCAAGTGCAGGCAGAAGTCATAAAATGACTCCCAGCCATGCAGAAAGGTGAGTAAGTGGATACGAGACTTTGCAGCAACACTGGTCAGGATGATGACACTGGGCTTATCTGTATTAACTCATATTAAGGTTCTCCCCTTAAATAGGCAAAATTCTGTGTTGCTGAATTGGCAAACCTTTACAGCTTTTTGATATGGAAGGAATTGAGATGAGATTTCCAGAGGACTGCTTTCCAGCAGTGGCCTATTACAGGCATGGTGTAATAGTGTCTTGTACTCTGGATGCTGCTTTCATGATTAGTCAACTGCTACATCTGAAAAGCTTAACTGGGGTGGATGTGCTACCAGGCTTTTCCTGATGTCTTTATTACTGACAGATAGTTCAGAAGGGAATATTTGACCGGGATGTAACTTGCAGTTAGTACAGTGAACTCTTGCAATTAAACTTGCTTTTTACATGCCCTGTCTCCCCAAAGTGGATTCTCTCTTTTAAATTGGATGTATGTGTTCTGATCATAAAAATGTGACTCAGTGCTAGATCAGGAGATTAAACAGTGGAGTGTTTAAAAATACAGTATCTTAGAAAGTTGTAAATACAGGACTATACATTGAAGATGGAAGCTAATCCTTCAAGTGCATTCCAGTTTGTCCTTGGCCTCATTTGCTATTCCTTTATTTGGAGAATGTTGATTAGAACTTTCAATTAGGGCATGGTATTCTCCTTATGGGCATGCAGTTCTTTAAAAATATCTTGACTGCAACTGCAGCTTTTTAAAAACACTTTTAGAACAAATAAATGTGCCTGACCTGCTAGAGATTGGAAAAATACCTGTTCTCCAGGAACAGGGGAATGGAGATGTATAAAGGGAACAGGAGAAAAGATGCTACTGCTGCAAGTTTATGGTCTTCTAAAGATCATGAGTTTGCATCTGTTACAATGCTGTGTTTTAAGAACAGTGTGTGATTGGCTGTTGCTTTTCTCATCTTTTCAAATAAATGACTTGTCAGTCTGTGTTATTTTTCTTGTTTTTTTTTTTTTTTAGGAAGCGGCAAAACGCTTGCATTTGCAATTCCGATGATTCACTCTGTGCTGCAGTGGCAAAAATCAAATAACTCAACAACCAGAAATGACAGTGTTTCTAAAGAGTCCCATCAGCATCATGATGAACCAAGATGGGAAAATGAGGATGAAGCAGAAAAACGAACCCATCAGCAGGCTGAAGATAGCGGAGATGAAGATGATGCATCTTTCACAACAGGCTGTGTGAAGGTGCTGGAAAATGTTGAATTTGATTCCAATGACGAGACACTCACTGTTGGCTCCAATAAAAACACACCTCTCTTAGGACTGGTCCTTACTCCTACAAGAGAATTAGCTGTACAAGTAAAGCACCACATTGATGCAGTTGCAAAGTTTACAGGTATGTGAATCCCAGAGGCCATGTTCCACAGCCAGAGTAGACTGTTTGGATCTTGGCAATGGTGTTGAGCCAGAATGTGTGCTGCACTTCCTTCCATAAAATCATAAAATTAGTATAACTTTTGAGGGGTTAGAGTTTTTACCACTGATGTGTGAGAAATGCATGGAGATTCTTCAGTGAGATGCACATGGAGGTAAGCAGTTAATGTGAGCTATTTTGCTTTAAAATGTGTCTTCCTTCAAAGAGGTATTGATTCATGCTCTCACAACACAGAATCACTAATAGATACGTGGCAACAGCTAACCTTGTTCTAGTTTTGGGTAATGTAGGCTCTATATAATTAATAATTTCATTATATATAAAATTTTTTTATATATATATTATAATAATAATTTCATTTTTAACAAGTATATCAATCTTTGTATATACTGTATATGTATAACTTTGTTCTGTCTAGTAAAAAAAAAGTTAGGGCCATAAATATTTAGGGTAGATAGCATTGCTGGATTGTCTGGCTTATCTCCTGCAGCAATCAAGGCACAGAAGTGTTACTAAATAACGTGCCTGACAAAAGCAGTTCTCCCCTCTTCCTTTCCCTTCCAGACCAGAAGTCAGTACATCTGTTAAGTGAATGAGTGAGGACATGTTGAAGACAGCGAGTTTTTCCCAATTCTCTCCACTTCTCCAGTACCAGTAATTGTTTGTTTATTAAAGAGGTTATGTAGTGCAACACAACACACTTAGTTTTAAGCCCATCTTTCTTTGGTGTCTGTATGTCCTGCTGTGCTCCTCAGTCTGCATCTGATTACAAGGCTTATTTTAACTGCTAGGCTGAAATAATCCATTTATGTCATACAGTTCTGATAGGAGCAGTGCTATTTATGTATAAAAATCTGCTGCCCAAGTGATAATATAGTTGCTGCAGTAGGAGAGGCAATATTTTGATGTGGACTTTTTATTGCCTCAAACTCACTTGGGGAAAAAAACCTGCTGTAGTGTTTCACAAGTAGTCCAGAAGAGAAATCAGTGGAAGCTGGGATATTTTAAGGGTCTTGCACAGTAGCATTGGGTTTACCAGGAGCCAGTGTATTCTTTGAAGAAATAGGGTGAAATAAGCCATGTGTGGAGTCTGCTTCCAAAGATAAACTCCTTTTAGTGCCTCTGCAATCTACTTAAAGCTAACGAGGTCTGTGCTACTGTGCAAGAATCAGTAATCAGGTGGGAGCATACTTTGTAGGATTATTCCATAGCAAATGAGCAGCTATTTAGCAAGACAAGCATTTCTCAGTGTTATTCTTGAAAGGAGCTTCTGCTTATTCTTAACAGGAATATGTTTGTCCATGCAAATATAAGGGAGAAAATACGAGACTCTGAAATTTGTGTAAACCAAACTAACAGCTATGGATAGGATTTTCATGCTGTTGAAAGACCGGTGCACTAATTCCTGGCATCTAACTATAATGAGAATCTTTCTGTAAAATTGAGTGCATTTCTGTATGCTCAGTGTTACATAAAACCCCTGAAGTTTCCTGGCCAAAATGCTTGCTGAAAGTTGCAATGTAGACTGTTTAAAACACTTCATGAAGCAAATATATATACAAAAACATTCACTGGTAAATGAGTGAAATAAAATCTGTTATTTATATGTTCTAGGCATTAAGACTGCAATCCTAGTAGGAGGCATGGCTGCACAGAAGCAAGAACGTGTGCTGAATCGAAAGCCAGAAATTGTAATTGCAACCCCAGGCCGTCTGTGGGAGTTGGTTAAAGAGAGACACCCACATCTTTCAAATCTTCGTCAACTCAGGTAAAGGTGGCTTTTCAGATAACTGCTGGATACTGAAAGGACAGCCCTGCATACTGGTTAGGTTTACTAACAGATTAAATAGCTTAGACTACACAATGTCACCTATTTCTGTGTCAGTGTTTTCTTGAAATGCACATTGGTTATTTTGATGGAGCAGATATGTCAGTTAAAGACAGTAGTAAAAACCTGATTTTTCAAAAAAATGCAGAAGACTACTGTAGCTGCCCCAGCATACCTGGTGTTCCTTTTGGTTTTATATGCATAACATCCTTTATGTGTTTAGCAGGAAAAGTTGATCTTAAATGTATCAGGTTTGCATTTAGCTGCACAAGTGTATTTTTACTGTGTGTTTTCTCCTTGACAGGTGCCTTGTGATTGATGAAGCAGACCGAATGGTTGAGAAAGGTCACTTCTTGGAGCTGTCTCAGTTGCTGGAAATCTTAAATGATTCACAGTATAACCCTCGACGACAGACTTTTGTTTTTTCTGCCACTTTGACTTTAGTCCATCAGACTCCTGCAAGAGTTTTACAAAAAAAGAATGCTAAAAAGATGGACAAGAAGACCAAACTAGAATTGTTAATGGAAAAAGTAGGAATAAAGGGCAAACCCAAAGTAATAGACTTAACAAGGAAAGAGGCTACTGTTGAGACACTGACAGAAACCAGAATCCACTGTAACACCAATGAGAAGGACTATTATCTCTATTACTTTCTTCTCCAGTATCCAGGAAGAACCATGGTCTTTGCAAACAGCATAGACTGTGTAAAACGCCTCAGTTCTCTCCTCACAATCCTAAATTGTGATCCTCTTCCTTTGCACGCCAACATGCACCAAAAGCAAAGGCTGAAAAACCTGGAAAGATTTGCTGAGCGAGAGAGGTGAGTTGGTTTTTAACTTCCTAGTAGAGAAAAAAAGAAATTGCATGAAGGGTGGTGGTGAGGGGGAACAACTCTGTTAGAGTAGGAGCAGGTTGGGGAGTTCACTGAGGATGTGAGTCTGTTCATGAGCCCAAGATATTAATGATTAAGGATGAGGTTTCACAGTTAAGGTGATGAACTGGAGCAAGTTCAAGGGAAGGCCATGAAGATACTCAGGAAACAGGGGCTCTGCAAGGGAAGAGGCTGAAGGGACTGGGTGTTTGTATTACCTAGGAAAAGTATTTTGTGGGGAGCTAGTGGCAGCCCTCTGACACAGTAAAAGGTTATCCAGAAGATGGAGCCAGGCTTTTCAGAGTGGTGCTTGATGGGAAGATGAGAGAGAATGGCTGCAAGTGTAAATAAGAGATTCAGCCTGGATATGAGAGAGCTTTTTCTCTGTGAGGACAGTTGAGCATGGGAACAGGCTGCTTGTCTTGGACTTTTTTGAGGCTCAGTTGGATAAAAGCCCTGAGCAACCTGGTCCAGTCTTGCAGCTCATCATGCTTTGAAGAGGAGATGTTTCTAGAGATCTCCTGAGAGAAGATAGAGAGCCTGTGGTCTAGGAGCTTTTTGCTGCTGAAGGAGCTGTCACTCCCCTTGTTTTCAGACATTTTTTTAGAACTGTCCTGCACAGCTCTGCCCAGATGTGTGCTCTGCAGCTCATTTGATCCTCTGTAAGTTATTGTATTCCCCTAAACCATCAGAAAATTAACCACTTATTACTCATTTGCAGGTTTAATTATAGAAACCAGTATCCTGAGGGTTGAAGTATCTTTGAGCAATGCAGAAGAAAGGGCAGTTGTGCCTTTCAGCAGTAGTGGGCAGCCAGGGTTTACCCAAGCAGACCCATCCTACCATAGTAGGAGACATTGTTTTGGGTTGTCTTTGACATGGCCTTTGGGAGGTTTTTTGTGTCATTACTTCCATACTGCAGAAGGCTCACAGTTGAGTTCTGCTGTGAACTGCTGCGTGCTGTCTGGGAGTTTGTTCCTTGTTAATACACCCAGGCATGGAGAACAAAGGTTGAATTGCTGTGGTGAAGCTGCAGCATCCCTTGGCAAATGTATTGATAGCATTTGCATAGGTCAGGTGAAGTGTTTTCAGACACTGCAGATTTTCAAGGCAGGAAAGAAATTTATGAGACCATTTCTCATGCCCTTCTGCAGATTGCAAGCTGTAGAATTTTCTGTTGTTATTTCTGTTTTGAACCTTGTAGCAATAGAGTATGCAGTCAGATGCCATAAAACCTTAACAAATTTCCGTTACCTGAAAGTTATTCATTTCAGTTGCTGGGAGATGTTTTTAAAACAAACTGTTCCATGTCCTGGGGATACTTCTGTCTCTGTAGAGACTGCTCATATAAAAGAACAACTTTTTTGAGTAGTTCATTTTGTCTAACAATAAAGAGAAATAGTAATTGTTAGAACAGAACTCCCCCCTTTATTTCTAGGTTTTAAATTACTGAGAGTGTATTTGAGTGTAGGTTGGTAGAAGATACTTCACCCCCAAAAAACTGTTATTTAAATAGATAATGTTAATAATGTGATTTTTCTCAACTGGTGAAACTTCTAATAACATGTACTGCCAGAGGATCAACTGTGTTGTTGATGGTGGGGTTGTAGCAAGCTAAAGAAATTCTTTAGACCTTAGACACTGAGAAGTGTAAAGCAGGGGCACATATCCCCCCTTCCTCATTGAATAGCAGTTTTTTTTCTAGCATTCTTGTGAACTTAGAGAGAAGAAAAACATAGGAAAACAGGATCCAGCAAGGTAGTGCATTTACTTATTGGTAACAGAATAGACCTGCTGAAGGCAACATATGCATTTTAAATTTTACTTTAACAATTATTGTTTCAAGACCACCCATTAGGTATATTGGGAATCATTTCTGTAAGGGCAAACAGAATGCATATGTCCTACAGATAATACAGTATAAACCTGTTTCTTAAACTGCTGGGGTAGAATTCTTGATTGCTATATTTTATGTTCCTTGGCAAATTATTTGCTCTTCAATTTTACATTCATTAAATTTTGTCACTTTCTCAGCTGTGTCCTCCTGACAACAGATGTTGCAGCTCGTGGTCTTGATATTCCTAATGTCCAGCATGTCATCCACTACCAGGTTAAGCATTTTTAATGTTTTTTCTTTTACTATTTTAGTTTGATGTAAGTTTTTGCTGATCCAAATCCTGAACGCTGTAAAGCTGTAATTCTTGGTCCCATATATAGTATAGTCCCAAGTACACAGATGAAATCATTTAACTGTCCTTAATGCTTTGTACTCAAAGATCTCATTTCTGCAGTGACTGTAGGTAGCACTTTATGAATGTGTGATTATGTATCAGAAATGACATAATAGATACGATCCCCCTTGCTTTTTGCTTACCTTTGATATCCAAAGGTGTCAAATTACTCAGCCTTATAACTCTTCTCTGAGGACACATAAAAAGTTGTGTTCTCTGCGTTCCCGCAGGTGCCTCGCACCTCGGAGCTCTACGTGCACCGCAGCGGCCGCACGGCCCGAGCCGCCCACGAGGGCCTCAGCCTGCTGCTCATTGGCCCCGAGGACTTGATCAACTTCCGGAAAATCTATAAAACACTGGAGAAGAGTGAAGAGCTGCCATTCTTCCCAGTTGATGCCAAGTGCATGACTTCTATTAAGGTAAAGAAATAACAGGTTTTTTGCAGCCTGAGTAGTTGCTTCCTTATTTATATTATTGATATGGTATTGCCTGTCGTGTTCTTTCCAGGTTTCAGGTGAAATTGACTCTTGAGGATCTGGATTAGAAAATTAAGTTAATTGCACTTTATATTTTTTTAAGCAATATCTATGATTTCTCATCAATAACTGGCCCAAGAAAGTTGTTCAAACATCGACATCGCTTATGTTTTTCCAGAAACAGTATAGGGAAGTGGATATGTTTTGTGGCTGTGGAGCTGGGATGTCTCTGCTAAGTGCATTGTTTAAATCCTCTTATGTTAGGAACAGACTAGAGAACAGTATCAGGTTCAGGGATATTCAGTGATCTTCACCTGCCTCTTCCCATCTGAAGTTGTGGGTTGTCTGCTTTTCTGAAAGTTTTTGTACTGTGAGGCCACAGCTGCCAATGTGTCAAACTGTGTTTCCTGTCAAACTGTGTTTCCCTTTCCTAGGTTATTGCTCATTTTTAAGAGGATTCAGTCACTAATGCAGAAGATAGGTAATGGTTAGAATTTACAAAACAGTGTGTTTAAGAAAGCATCTAGTCACTGCAGATTTTCTACTTCTTTAATAAGAGACTATTTCATGTCTCTTAGCAGTTTGGATGATCAGTCATACACAAATGGGACATATTTAAATACTAGATTTTAAAGGAATCCAGCTGGGGTAGAAATGTCTGAATATTTGACAGTCATTGAGAACCAGGAAAAGTGCAAGCAGTCAGATAATGCAGCAGGTGTCTTCCTCATGGTATTTTAATTCAGGCTTACCTCCTTGGATTGGACTGAGCCCAGGGTCTACCCCAGTGGCAACAACAGTATCCTCACCTTGGGAATAATGACAGGAAGTTTCAAAACTCAGGCTTATTGTAGAAAGGGTATTTCTGTTAGGAAATGCAGCTTTCTGAAAGAGGAAAGAAAATCAAATAAAATCAGTGGAAGCACTGATTCATTTTTTTCTCCTCTTGGTAGTAATGAAGAGAAACTGATTCCCACCCTTATCTCCCCCATTGTCCCTTCCACCCACTAAATGTTACTAGTTACTGAGAGAAATCTGTTATTTTGAAGAGTCTTGCTTCAGAGGTTCCTTCTATGTTTCTTGATGAGTAGTTGTTGGCTCTTATCATGCTCTGTCAATTAATGGGCAAATAAATGTTGTTTCTACACTTTCTTCTTCCTGTCACCATCTCTATCTGTAATAGTGCTTCTCTCCCCAGAAGAGATCTCTGTAATTGTAGTTTCTGGACTCCAGCCTCATAAGCCCTTGCAACAGTCCTGTCTTGTTTATGTTTTTGTCCTGGGTTTAACCACAAAGTCATTGTAGTTGGGACTAAAAGTGTTGCTGGTTCTTTGTCCGTCCCATTGGCACACTCCTCTCCTTTTACATGGCTTCATTCAAGTGCAGGAAAAGTCTGAAGGGGTTTGACTTGAGAGGAAAAGAATTGTTGAACCAGGAGAGATTTAAAGAGGACTTAAATTTTACAGAGATGGAAAAGGTTACTTTAAATTTCTTGTAATGATCTAACAAGTGACTGACTCGGTAGTCCACTGTGAGTGTTAATTCTCCCTCTCTCTGCAGGAATTACCCTGGCAGTCCTGGCTGCTGTTGTTACTGTGCAACACCTGACTATTCTGATTCCTGCATGATTTTGCTTTATGCAACTTCAGGCACATTCCAAAGAGCAGAACTTGCTTCTACTTGGTTCATAATTTCTGTTAGTGCAGATTTTCTTTCCACAGAGAATTAGTTATTTGTTTGGCCCAGCTGGAAGCCTGCAGGTCAGGTTAAGTTTGCTGGACATCTTTGTTCCACCTGAGTGCAGCTGGGAAGAAGGACAGGACATTCTGTCCTGTACCTAAATAAGATCCAGGTGCATTCCTGAAAATATGATGTGTTCCTTCCATATGGCCTGCAGGAGTTTACTTTCTTCAGAGTGGAATGAAAGTACTGGCTGCTCCTTACTATTGAGACTAATAACTCTGAGATCAAGCTGTACTATGTAAGCATGTAACTTGGAAATGATTGGTGTCTGAATCATGATTTGTTCTTGATGTCTCTCAAGTGTTTATAGTGATTCATTCATAGAAAGCTGAGTTAACATTCAGGTATGTTTAGTAGTTGAGATGTTTAAGAAGTCAGATTCTGTCGTGGATCTAAGGACGGAAAACACTAGTGAATGATGATGTGTTTATTAGGTGGGACATGAGTAGGGAACAAAAGTGTCTCTGCACCCCAGATGCATTGCAGTGCATGCTCTCAAATACTTACTCTGCTGAAGTACCCCACATTTAAACCTGATCATTATGTCTAAATGTATTTTCATTGCAGGAACGGATGAACTTGGCAAGGCAGATTGAGAAGGCAGAATTTTTCAACAGTCGGGCAAAGCAGCACAACTCCTGGCTCCAGCAAGCTGCAGAGGCTCTTGAGATGGATCTTGATGATGACATGTTGATGGGCAAGTAGAAAATGTTTTTCCATGGATATGCTCAGTAGGGCCCATAGTGCTGGTGTCCAGAAGAAGCCTCACCATGGCAGAGAAGCTTCAAAAGCTGCAGGGCAGGAGTTGAGGGGAATGAAAGGAGTGTTGTTGGTGTGTGGTGCTAGTGCTGTTTTCAGGATGGTTGTGCAGCTGGAGCTGAGGAAGCTAGGTGTGACTGTTCTGGCAAGTTGCAGACAAGTCTGCATGTTGTAGGACCAGAATTGGTGAGCTTCTGGCAAACATTTCAGAGTAATCTAAGCAGCCCAGTATGTCCTGATTTGAGTCTTGTCCCCTCTTGTCATAGAGAAGGCTATTTCCACACTTCTGCTTCTCTCTCCCACTCTCTTGTAGTCAGGCATCAGGACAGGAGCCTCACAGCTCTGTGTGGGAGCAAGCAGGAAGTGCTAGGGAACACCAAATATTATGTGAGCCTTAAGTAGGTTGAGCTGTGTGGGCTAAATGGCCGATACATATATTGAAGTTGATGAGGTTTTTGATGGTTTGTTAGAAGTAAATAATTTCTTACATTTTTAAAATTAAATATTTTTCAGGCTGTAGCTGAGAGAATTTGTAAGGTTGTACAGCTGCAAGTGGCTATTTGTTCATTGCCATGAAATTTTGCAAAGCTTAGATGCCCCATTGTGTGTTCTTATTTCAGGAGCTGTAGGTATGATTTCCTACCAGTTCTTTGAAGGCAGGCTGAATAGAGTTACTGCAGAGGTCTCTTCAGATTAGTCTGGCTCTAACCTGTTAGCTGCTAAGATGCCAATGCCTTTATTTTGAAACATGTTTAGATTAATGTCTTTATTCATGCCTGGACTAGATGCTTCTCAACCACTTTGCAAGCAAACACTAACCATCTCTGTCTGCATTGTTCAGGAGTGCTTTCAGATAATTAGCACTCTGCTGTCTTGTTTTGACATAATCTGAGTATGCTGTGTTTTGGAATGAGTTTCCAAATAGCACATCCAGTCCAAGTAAGTTGTAACTCTCAAGTGAAACACTTTGTAATTGCCTCCCAGAAACTTGCCAAGTTTATGCTTTAAAGTGTACTCAGTCTCTCATTCTTGTGTGGCTTGTTGGAGCCCAATTAAACTCCCAGTCATTCGTGCCCTTAGTGAAGTGCCTCTTACACAGTTACAAAAGATTCAGTAATGTGCTTTCAATTTTACCTTACAGCAAGCTTGATTTCATTTTTCTCCTCAGTTCAGGCCTTAACTATGGTTACTCAGTAGTCAGGATTCTTCTTGACCTCATTATCTCGTGAACAGCCTGGTTGATCTGAAGATGTCACAGATGACTGGGAGTTGAGTGACCTTGTTAGAGAGAGAAAGCTGGGGTCAGCATCTGCCCTTATCAGGTCTTACAAACACCTGCAATGCAAGTTTTTTTCTTGTTGTAACATTCTGTGTCTTTGATTTCTGCCCCAAGGGAGAAAAGCGAGTGAGCAAGAAGAAAGCCAGAAGCAAAAGATGCTGAAGGGGATGAAAAAACAACTGAAACATATGTTGTCCCAGCCACTGTTTAAAGTCCTTATGAAAACCAAGTACCCAACACAGTCTGGAAAACTACTCTTGCCTCAGACATCAGAGAGCATTTCAGCTCTAGGTGCCATGTCCAAAAAGCAAGCCAAGAAGAAGAAATCAATAAAATAAAATTAGATAACAGCAAGATCATTCAGTGTGACAGAAGCAAGGACTATCCTCAATCAAGGCTGTGAGTGCTTATGGAGGATCCCAGCTAGAAGACAGATTGTGTAAGGATGTTGCCTGTGTATTGGTTGTGCAGGCACAAAACAAAATGCTGATTTAAAGGGCTTAATTAACATCTGGTTAGTTACTGTTGAATCTTGTCTTGGATCTTGGTTTTTTATGTTCTTATTTTTTTTCACAAATCTCTATATTAATAGAAGATAATTAGTTTTCACATAGTTTTGATAATTACTCCACTTTGTGAGATGGGTAAGAGTTACTGAGTGGAATTCACTGTGGGCATACTCTAATGGTAAAACTTGATTTGAATTTTAATGTTTTTGAAGGACAGGGGAAGGTCAGCTATATAACAGTGCAAGTACAGACTGAGCTGGTGGTAGTGGGAGGTTTGGCTTTTACTGCCTCCAGCTCAGTATGGAAGGCAGAAAATACAGATTATGTTACCAGTAAGTCTACAGTTCTGGTTATGGAAATGTCCCTGTTTTCTTTTTCCTCTGATAATATTTCTGTTCTGTTCTCCACGAGGTTTCATTCTCTTAGTCCTGTGTTAATGCATTTGAATATGCAAAAAAAGTTAGGGTGGCAGTGAGTCAGGACTGACTTTGGGAGATGTGTAAATTTCTGAGAAGTGTTGCTACTCAGTGTTTTCATGATTAATATTTGAAGTTAAGCCTGTATTTGAAAACATGTTAGAACCATGATCTTCACTGTAATAGAGGGGATGATGTTTTGAAATGTCACTTTTGAAGATTGCTCCATGATAATTGTGCTTTTAAATAATTCTAACCTGATCTAAGCAAATATTTTTTAAACTGTTTTTTAAAATATGTCAGAAAAAGATATTTTGAATTTTTTTTAAATTATATCTGCCATAAACTTCAAAGCCTGTGTCTGTTTTCAGTTACTTGAAATTTCTAAATCCATCATAGCTGATGCTGTTTACACTTAGCGGGCAAGGAGAGGGGAAAAGTACCCAAAAGATAAGACAGTGGAATCTGTATTGGTGGGAGGACAGGTAACCTTCACCTGCTGGCTCTGGGTGAGGCTTAGTTTCTGTGTCTCAAACAGTGTGGAATGAACCAGTGTCACTGCCATGACAAGAATCACCAATTTACTCAGCTACCCAGGGAAATTTGTCTGTGGAGTGGAGACTTGCTAGTTATGTGAGAATAGCAAACTCTTTATTCTTTCATGTGTGTAAATAATTGAAGCCCTCTGTCTCTGGAGGGCTTTTCTCTTGTTTTCATGCATTACTGAAGAAGAGTTCTGACAGTGTAATCATAAGCATACAGAGCTTGTCAATGATGTATGAGACTTTCCTTGCAATGCACTGTTTGTCTCATGCCCTTGGGAGTAGAGGGGAAAGTTTTGGGGAGCAGAGATGGGAAGGTTGTGTTTCCTCTCTCATGTGAGGAGATGCATCTTTGGAGTTAATGTGACATCTGAAAAATAAAAACAATTTATGACAGTTCCTTGTAAGGAAGGCTGAAAAAAGGAACTGAACTAAGGTAAGCATACCCTCATTTTCTTTTGCATGCCATTTTAATCAGACTCTCACATTATGATAAGGAAACCTGTATTGGTTTTGCATCCTGAAGGGTTTGAAGACCAGGTAAGCCTTTTCTGAATCTTATGATGCATTTCTGTTTCCATTTCATTAGCAAAATCAAGGCTGGATCCTGACAACAGAGCTCAGCATCTCCCCATCTGAATCTGCGTAAGTTTTGGCAGTTTCTAATTCCATGAGATCATGAGGAGAACTAAGTTGAGGACAGTGAGAGAATTGTTATCTCATTTCTATCATTGCTATGAAGTTTTTCAGCTGCTTCTGTTTCCCTTTGTTTAACCCAGCTCTCACACTCTCAGCCCACTGTCTTGCCAAGTCTCCCCAGGATGGAGCATGGCACTTGTGCCCTCCTTGCCACTTTCATAGAATCATAAAACCTAATTCCACCATGCCCAATAGCAAAGTGCCACATCCATTTGTTTTTTGAACACTCCAGGGGTGCTGACTGCACCACTTCCCTGGAGAGCCTGTTCCAATGCTTAATGGTTCATGTTTGCTTGTGGGACATGCTCTGGGGCTGGTTTTCTTCTGCAGCCTCTTATGTGCTCTGCATGGACTCTCAATGCTTAAATCTACTGATGCTGCACCCCCACAGGAACTAAAGCAGAGATTGGACCCTAAAAATATCTGTGTCTTAAAAAGAACACTTGTCTGGAGCTCTGAAAGCTCTCTTGTGGCTGCCTGTTTTGCCTTGTCATTATCTTACCAGGATACCCTGAGTCTTCTAGCTAGAGGAAAAGCCTAATATTTGCTTTAGCTAGTTTTAAAAAATTGTTAAATCTATAACTGAGAGATACTACCATTTAGCAGCCCCACTCCTATGTGAATGAAGTTACTGCAGAAAGAGGACAGTAAAGTAGAATGTTTTCTCTACCTCTGTTTTGTATGTGTACTACTGGTGCATATTAGACATGAAGAGTTTTACATCAAGTCCACATGGGCAGTGTAATCTTCACGTTCATCAAATATGTAGTAGCAAATGTTTTCTCTAATGCTGTGCTGGCACAGCAGTTATACTGAGGCCTCTAACCAGTAATCTCGTGTTTTGTGGCAGCTTATGTCTGCTGAAATACCCATAATTAAAGGACTTATTAAGTCTCTTTAATCTGTCAAAGCAACTTCCAAGTAGTTTAATAAAAGCATGACTTCAGCAGAGTGTCGGTAGGCTTCAAGCTGATACAGAGCAACCAGTGCTACCTAACAGAGAAGTGAAACAATAGCTTCTGAACCTTCTTTTTTATTTTCTGAATGCATGGGGCCAGTTGACCTCATCCCTGCCACAGAGTTCCTGCTCTGTCATACTCTATAAAGAAAAGGAAGAGTCCCTGCAGTTTAAGGCATCTGCTGAGGAGATAGTTTGGACAGGATTTCACGTATTAGACAAGAGAGTTTCCTGACATGCCCCATGCTTTTTCTTTCCTCCCCTGTATGTTAATAAAACAGTAAATTAGCAGAGCAGAAGCTGGAGTGGTGCCTTGCCATATGCCAGCAGCCCAGGCACAGGGCTGGCCATGTGGCACAGGGGAGGTAATTCACACCTTCCTGAGGGAGGGCTGGGTACCCCACACTTTCTGCAATTAGTCTGCATCACTCCCTGAGGGACAGGAGCTAGGAAAGGGACATTTTTACAGCCTCACCTCACACAGCCTGACAAGCAGGAAAATGTGGTAACAAATGCTGTGCTTTTCTGGGTGCTGAAATGCTCCCTGCTATGTCCTGTGCTAGCAGGATGTGGGGTTTGGGTGCCTGAGCTATTCCAGACTTTTTGATGAATGGCTTGGTGAAAGAAGGAGCTCAGAAGACTTGAAATGCATGACTGATGATATAGCAAGCAACAATCCGTAAGTAATGCCCAATAGTCATTGCAGAAAAGTAGGATGTTGTCAGTGGTCACAGGTTTGGGAAGTAGAAGGGAAGCACAAGACAGAAGGGGTCTCTTTAGGAAAATTATCCTGGTTCTGTAACCTCTGTAGATCCCCTCTATATAGCCCCCTTCTGACACTCAGGAACATGTCTGATACTGTTCTGGCCTGTGAGAGATTTTCTATTTCAGCTTCTTTTTGTTTTCAGCTTCTTCAGTGTTTTCTCAAGTCAGTCATAAGCTCCTCCTGGGGCTGGCCTCCCAGAGTGAGTAAGAACGGAGAAAATAATCTATCACTCCTGTGGCAAGTTTATTGGCCTGAGGAAGCAAGTAAATAAGAGCTGCTGTGCTTCCTTGCATTGGAGTTCAGTAGCTCTTGCTGTGAAACTGGAAGAAATTGTAGCCAGTTTCCAGAGCAACCAACTTTAGATGGTACAAATTGCCAAATTTCTGTAGGTGAGAGCTGCACATACAAAACATAAATGCAAAACCTGGCTGGGAAAAGCAGAGCAGGCGGTAAAAAGTACATGTAGGCTTTAGTACCACTGGGCTAATTAAAGGTCTGATTATTTTTTATTATTGATGTGATTACATCAGTCTAATCACTAGTGTGGATGGTGTTTTAGAAGTAAAGTTTCTCTTTCTTTACTCATGGAAACATCTGTAGCAGTATGAACTGACAGGTGTTATTGAATTACACACACTGGCCATCTTAACAGGGTCCAACCCTACTATCCCACTGATTAAAGTCAATTCCAAGTGAAGGTTTCCATTTCCTCTTTTGTTAGCTCTCAGGTTACAGGTGTGTGCCTCTGGACAGGAACGCCTTGCCTAGACTGTGCTCCTCAGTTGTACCCATACCAGCCATCCCCCAATCTACACATCACTTCATTCTGCTCAGCAGTCTCTCAATTTCATATAGTTTTCACTATTGCTGGGCTGGCCCTTCTTAAGTTACCTCATTCTCTCAGAATTGTCTCCTTTGTCCTTGCATTCCAGAAAACAAAAAGAACTAAAACATCTATACAATGAAGAATTTAATTCTAGTATCTTAAGGTATAGAAGAGAGCCCAATAATAAAACTGATTGAAACCATCTGTCTTGAGCCTTTTTGTCCTGTAGATGTTTTTGTGTCCCTGGTATAAATTTGGTAATTTGTTCCTCTCCATCTAAGAGGCTGGTCATAGCAGGGACAGTGGTGGCAGACACAGCTTAGTACCTGCCAAACACTATTTCTGTTGGTGGCAGGTATTTCTAGTAGCCCAAAGATCATTTCAAAGCTACCTGACTACAAATTCAAGTAATTTTATCTTCAAGAGTCTTACTCTTTTTTTTTCCCCTCTCCTGAGGACTGTGAATGATATTGAATGTGTAGTTGTCACTGCATTCCTAAAATTTGATAGCTGTTGTTTAGTATTCCTGCTGGAAGAGAACTAGCAGGTTCCACGTTTTCAGGTATTCCATATCTGATAGGGATGTTTGAATCACTCCCACAGTAATAGTTTTTCTGGTGGGAAAAGCTTCTATCCATTCTGAGAGCTGATCCATGATTACCAGTGCTCATAAGAGGCATGTCAGCATAACCACTTTAAAAATGGGAAAAACAAACATGATCATACTTCAATCCCTTGTTTGCATTTTGTGTTGGAAAACTTTCAACATGTGGGACAAGAAATCACAATACTTGTCATACATATTCTAGGGACTGCCCACATTTTTTCCATCTGGTTAACAATTGCGATCATCTCTCCAGGTATTTTATCATGAAACCACTTAGCCAAACTCATTAAATACTTTCTTGGTAGAATAGGTTATCTCCCAATAGTCCAAATTCCAGTTTCATTTTTCACTGCCTCCCAACTTTCCCATCAAACCCATTCTTCCTGCGTAACCTCTGCATATATTTGTGCTGGATTACTGATCTCTAGTCAACCATCAGCAGATGGAGTTATTAGGGTGGCACACTCAGTATAGGTTGTTGGACAGCAGTTTTAGTTGCTTTATCTGCCAGTTCATTATTTCTTCTGCTTTTGCTGGACAGCGCACTACAGCAACTTCCCTTGGAAGCAGAATAGCTTCCAAGAGCATTCAGATTTCAGTTCCACAAGGAATAAACTTTCTTGCTGAGGTAAGGAACCTTCATTCTTTCCAGAACATACCCATTGCATGACACTATCCAAAAACTTAGAATAAGAATAAACACTGCTGATGTCCAAGCCAGGCTGCTCTTGCTAATGCAGGTAATTCATCAAGGGTTGTGGAGGTTCTGCTTCAAGTACCTTTGGCTTTTTCACCACTGTGTAGCCTCCATGTCATTTTCCATTCATGTAGCATAAAGACCTGTCAGTGATAAGGGTTAGATTTGAGTTCCCTAGAAGCAGATCCAGCAGATCTTCCTGCATGCAGTTGGAGTG